TCGCCCCACGTTGTGTTAAAATGGTCAAGCTTCCTCGAGGCAGTTACCCAGTGGTTACAACTGTTTTGGGAGGGAAAGCCCCAGAAAATAAATTAATTCATAGGTAGCTTTCATCCGTACCCAAGGAAGTAAGCCCAAGATGCCGAACCCCCTTAGCGGGATGCAGTTCCCCCTTCATGGGACTCGCCGAATCCCTCAGGGCGTTTCGCGCTTGGTGATGTGAGAGCCTGGTCCGGGGAGAACCCGGGGTGTTCCGTCCCGGCTTTGTAGGGATGGGGGGTCAATGGTCAAACGATTACGGCATGCACGATTAGGAGTCCCCCCCCCCCCCCCCCCCTCCATAATTGCTCGGGTTGACGTACAGACCGTGGTGGTGCTGGCGATCCCCCTGTCGAATCTGAAAAAGCTCAAGTTCCGGCGAGGGGCCTCGGTCACGGTTATCCTCAAGACCGATGAGGCCAAGGAGTTCCTTACGCCGCAGGTGGGATGGGATGTTTTTTTATGGCGTCGCTTCATCCCGCGAGAAGGGGACAAAAAAAATCTCAGTCGTCATTATAGCTCATCCCAGAGTTTTGTTTTTTGCAATTTGGCAGCTGCTGTGACCCTTAGTGTGGTCGTGATGAGACAATCTGTTGTGTAAGTGTGTTCCGCGAAGAAGTGGCAGTGGCCACAGGTTCAGAGCGGTGATAGCAGCAGCAGCAGTATAGTGGCTCCCACAAGGGGTACTTGGGGGTGACATGTGACATGGCATTAGCGCATGGCTTTTGCCTTCTTTCGCACGTTCAACCCTAGGACACAACACTCAACAAAAGAACGATATGTCGTATGTCGTATGCTATAGATTGCTATCACTGATGCCGGCTTTCCGAGATGATACTTGTAAACACGCCCGATGGAGGGAGGGAGGGAGGGAGGAAGGGGGGGGGCACTCCTTCCGTGCGTCTGTCCTTCGTTTCGATTACCCTTCTTTCGTCTACCCTTCTTTTTGTCCGCCGTTCTTTATGTCTGCCCTTCTTTACATCCGCCCTTCGTTATGTTCACCCTTCTTCCACGTCTGCCCTGCCTTACATCTGCCCTTCTTCACGTATACCACCTCTAAATGCCTGCCCTGCTTTACATCTATCTGCCCTTCTCTTTGGAATTGGATCTCCCGCCTTGTTGCCTGCCTGTCTTGTCTTGTCTCTCTATCTGGCTCTCCCTCTCCCTCCGTCCAATGCAACGACGTCCACCAACAACCGTCTGTCCTGTCGTCGAAAATCAGTCGTACGAGTGTGTCCAGGCCGTCACCGAGCGGCTGGAGAAGATGGGGATCGCCGGACACCAGACCACCGCGGGGGCGGAGCGTCAGGTCGATCACGCCAGCTCTTTGATGGCGGCCCTCGGCAGGAAGGTAATATGTAGGTAACCAACGCAAAATACCACCATCCCCCCCCCCCCCACCCTGGACCGAGTTTCAAAGCTCGATTACTCGGCAGGACAAGCAGTGACGGTACCGAGAAATGTCGTTCGAACCGTCTCGCCGCAAGCATTGTGGGCGTGATGTCCTGAGTCGAGTTTGGCATTCTCCTCTTCGTCGCGAAGTAGTCGAGCGTTGATGTGTAGTGTCTAGGGTTTTGCCACCTAGGGTACCTTCCACCCCACGCTTTTTCAGCTTTCAGCATGTGTGTAGAACCCACGTGTGTTCCTGTCTCTCGCCTTCTAACGCCCGCACAGGAGTGTTCCTGTTTACTTCCTAGATCAGACGTTTTTTCGGCATGTAACGCCACACGCACTACTTGCTAAAATGAGATGTTGTGGTGCTTTTTCGCACTGGCTAATTAGGGTAAGATAGATAACGCGGTCTGAGGCCAGAATCCTGTCTTGTGTGACCTACCAGCCAGAACATAATGCTTTCGAAACCACGCGCGATGAAGTTGTCCGTGTCCATGTGTACACGTCCAAGCTCCCCCCCCCCCCATCTTAATTTTCCGTCTCTTTCTTTTCTCTCTCGTTTTGGTTGTTTTTTTCTTGCGCGATTCAGGAGGCCCAATTCGGGGTCAGAGAGCGACCCGACCTGACCCTCGTGGAGGAGTGCATGGACCTCTTCCGGCAGGCGGCCGAGCTCTACTCCGCCGCGGATGACCCGCGGCACGAGGAGGTGTGTGTGTGTGTGTTTTTTTTTTGTTGCTGTGTGTGTGTGTCACAAGCAGGAGCGGGGGTCTCGCATAATAACGTACCAGGTATAGTACGGTGTGTGTGCCAAGCGGGAGGGGGTCCAGCAGTATTTGTGTAGTGCATATGTGGCAAGAAGTACAAAACCGTACGCCTTGCGGGGACCCCGCCCGAAGAGATTTTGATCGGTCCCGAGCCAGCACTCCGCACTATTCTTCCGGTGCGCACTTGCAATATGAAACGATCCCGCGGTGACGGGCTATCTCGGCGATGTCTTCGCGCGTACTGCTGTGGGCGAGTGTGTTGCGCGAGGACTTGCTGTGTCTTCTTCTGCTTAAAGTTTGTGTGTGTGTATCATGTGTATTGCCGTGCCGCCTGCCGTGCTGCCAAGGTAAAACCGCAGGGCACCACGACTCGTTCCAGCTCGTTCACGCCACCCCCCCCCCAAAAAAATTTCGTCGCGTTGTAACAAAGCGTCCCGTCCACTGCTGACCGACGGCAACGGTAGGCGCCTTTTTTCATTTTTTTTTTTATTGTGCGTGTGGTGCGCCCGATATCTATCGTGTCTGGTGACCGTACACACATCCTGTCTGCCGTGCCTTGGACAGGTTCTAGCACACATGCACCGGTTCCTCCAGCGAGAGGACGTCCTGAGCGCGCTGGGGGGGGACGGCAGCCCGGACGGCGGCGGTGCAAGTAGTGATAGTACCCCCGTCGAAGGTGATGCCCCAGTTGGCGGAGCCCCGGCAGCGGAGGAAGACAGCGGCGTCGATGGTGGTTCTCCTGAGGGCAGTGGCGCGGATGGCTCCCGAGCTGTTGCCGACCTAACCGGAGGCGGCAGTGACGACCAGACGTCCGCTGCGACAGGCTCTACGCAAAAAGAAGAAGCCGAAGCCGTAGCCGAAGGTGATGGCAGCACGCCGAAGAAGACGACGGCGGCGGCGGCGGCGACAGCAAGACGGACGGCGGGCACCCCGGTGTCTGCGGCGGCGGCGGCGGCGGCGGCTGCCAAGAGGACGACCTCCGGCGGCAGCAGAACGTCCCCGTCAACGACGACGACGGGTGCGGCGGCGGGAAGGGGAGGGGCTCGACGGACCAGCGGGGGAGGACGAACAGAAGCAGGAGGGAGCGGCGCCGGCGGAGGCAGAGGGGGTAGGGCTTCCCCTTCTTCCGCCTCAGGTGGAGGTGGTAAGACGGCGGGGCTGTCGGGGCGCTCTACAACGGGGCGTTATGGCTCGGCATCAAGGAAGGACTCAGCGGCGAGCAACGCTAGCCCCAACGCCAAGAAGAGCGGGTCCTCGGCATCGCCACCGGCGGAAGGGGGGGCCG